TTTTATGTTATGTTATGATATTCCGGGTGTAACAAAGATACTTGAACAGTTCAGTATTTTTTTAGGTGAGGTGATTTTGAAAAGCATCAAGGTCAGATTTTTCTAATTTTGAACAAACTGTTAACTTTTAATTTGACCTTGTGTCCCACCGTCGAGGTCATTCCAAAGTAAATTTTTGTTTTTTTTTAATGGAAAGTGTCCTTTTTGGTATTGGCAATCAAAATATACGTAAAATTCTACGTCTGAATGAATATGTATTAAAATCTCAGATCAGTCATATCTAAAGACCAAATGTCAGACCTTTAGTTTAGCTTTCAACAAGGATTTCAATACTGACCTTGGATATGGCCTTGAGCTCACCTTCAAGGTAGTAATAGTACATAAGAACGTATTAGAACGTACATTTTTCTATTATATGTATCAAATAAAAAAACTTGACCTTAGAATGTCTTTGAATGTAAGGTTCAAAGTTGAGTATGTCACCATTGAAATCATTCGAGTTATCGAAGAAAACCATCGCAAATTGGTGTTAAGTTTAAAAATGGCGAGGACCAGTGGTTAACTGCCAGAAATAAAATCTACAATCTACTCTTTGACGCGATTGTTACAAAAAGCAATTTTAAATTACATTTTTTTTCTATATTGTACATTGTCCGCCCTTGCTAAATTAGAATCAAATTTCTATTATCCCTCTATTGAGGGCGAGGTCAAGTTAACGTCGAGCTCGCCGTGAAGAGATACAGATCGCTCTATTTTTCATATTACGGAGGAAATCAAGTTGTCAGCTTTGCCCTCGGAAAAATAAGGAATCACTGCTATCTGGTACAATACACATACATATCCCCACGGTTTCACTCGTGCCGAGATTACCCTCAACAGAATTAGGTCATTGGCTTTATAACTCTATGAGAACAAGGCTTGGTGTCTATATAGACAATTTAAGATATTGATTAAAACAGAAGTAGCTAGATTAACTATGTGCTTTACTTTTAATACCATCGGATAACGAAGGTTTAAGTCTTTCTGAAATTTTTCCTGCATCTCATAACTCTGACGCCATTGAGGAAAAACGTGAAAAAACAGTTTGTGATTTTCGAAAAATATGTAGTCATTCCTTCAAGTATCTGATTGCGTCAAATATTAGCTAAAACCGAATATACTGAACCTAAAACGCTTCGTCTTTGAGGAAATAAGTGTATTAAAGAAACATAAAGAACATGTCAAATTCTCGTAAATATGTGAGACGTACTTTATCTACAGAGTATTCTTGTTCAATTGCTTGAACCTATATTTTAGCGAACTATCTAATGTTAAAAAGCTGATATTCGATATGGTTATTATAGATGAGTATTTTTACACACCAGTCAACTAACTTAATCATCAGACACTCGGACCCCGAATTATTACAGAATCCTATGGCCACCTCCTGGCTCCATCATTCAATCATCTCTGTCATTATAATATTGCATTGTCATATCAGACGTCCACCATGTTGGATTTAGAATAACGTCAGTTTGCTTAACACGTTTCTCTCATCAAGCACTTTCATTTGATACCCATCATATGTCTATGGAAATTATATATTCCCAGCTCAAGTATATTTCAAAACACAAATTAATATATATATATATATATAATATATATTTGTTACGATGCATCACATTATAAATAAAGCTATGAAAAACTAGAAAATAAATCAATAGCCGAGTCACAAGCCCAACATTGCATATTATTATGAAAGCATCCTTTGTATAACTCAGGGAATACACAGCATTGTTCAATTTGAATCACTAGTTGAACAGCTGATAGTTATTGTCATGCCAACCAAGGCTGTTTTTAGACTCCGCCCTTATATACTTAGTTCCAACTGTTATAAATAGATATCAGTATAATTTTAATTAATAATATGAGGTATATATAAATGTTGCCAAATTAAAAAACTGATGCTGTTCATCACTACCTGCAATCAAATCGTCCCGCCGTGCTTTTCTTGGCGAAGACAAAAATATCAGAGTCTGCACTGATTAACCATCTTAACTTCTCAAACTACGAGGTGCACTCCAATCTGAGAAAGAACGGGGGAGTTGTGACTTTTGTCCGCAGCAGTCTGTCCTGCTCCAGAGATGTTTCTTTGGAATCAGACCGGAAGGACATTCTGTGGTTCCGCCTCAACTCCAAAACATCACCCAAATTTATTAGCTGCCTTTATCGCTCTCCCTCGGACCATAACTGGGATGACCTACTGGAATACCTAGCCGTCCAGATCGACTTTCTGAACATCAATCACCCTGCTTCAGAGGTAGTTCTCGGTGTTTTCAATGCCCATAATGAGCTTTGGTTGGGCTCAAACAAGACCGATGCAGCAGGTCGTGCAGTCGAAGCGTTCGCTCTTACTCTAGGGCTGACCCAGCTGGTGACGAGCCCTACTTTTTTCCTCGCGTCTCGTCACACTCCAGTAGCCTGCTGGACCTCTTTCTGACCAAGCATCCTGTCTCTTACAGCACTGCTGTCCTGTCCCCCCTGGGTAACTCAGACCACGGTATTGTGGAGGTTAGGTTTCGGTCAGAAACCGCTGTGGCAGCAGAAACTCGTACAAAACTTGGCATTACGGACATGCCGACTGGGAGGGGCTCAGCGACAGCTTCTGGACTATCTCGAACGTCACAGCTTGATTAGCGACAGGCAGTATGGTTTCCGGCACCAACGATCCACAGGGAAACTCCTAGCTTACGTCACGCAATTGTGGAGTAAACCCATCCAGTCTTATGTTGAGGCTCATGTCGTTGCTCTTGACATCACGAAAGCGTTAGATCAGCTGTGGCACGCTGCCCTCTTAAGCAAACTTCCATCCTATGGCCTCCCAGAAAAGCTTTGCAGATGGGTGGCTAACTTCATCTCTGGCCGCAAGATATCCGTCGTAATTGACGGGTTCTCCTCTTCATATCACAACGTCAACGCGGGTGTTCCCCAGGGATCGGTCTTGGCTCCGACACTGTTTCTCTTACATATCAACGACCTCATTCCTGCACGCTCAACCCAATCCACAGCTTCGCTGATAACAGCACTCTGCATGCAGGAATTCAGAGTGACAAGCCGATCTCTGCCGCTTAGCTGGAAAAAAGAAGACTAGCGACGACTTCCTCTCTGACAAGAGACCTGCTTGGGGACGCAACAATCGTGTACAGTTCAATGCTTCCAAAACACATTTAGGCTTCTGCCTGCGCAGCTGCTTTGATATAAAAAATTCCTTCATGGATTTCTCAACAAATTACAAATTAAAATTCAAGTATCGAACTTTGATAGAACTACAGTATTCAACAATATAGTTTATGTTTATGAGATTCGCCGCAAAATAAATACCACAATAGACATAAAAGCTTAAAATGTTTCTAGAAAGAATTTGTTGTGTTGTTGGCATGGGTCACGAAAGAAGTTTTTCGTGATTGGTACATTAACAGCTATGTCCCACAAGTTAAGCAAGAATTACAGAAGAAGATGTCACCAGTACAAGCACTTCTGTTACTTGACAACGCACCAGGACACCCTGATAAGGATCAATTGAAAGTTAAAACTGCTGACGGTTTCATTGAGGTTATGTACTTACCAGAAAACACATTGGCTTTGATCCAGCCAATGGATCAAAACGTCATTAAGACTCTCAAGGCACATTACAAAAGCAGCTTTTAATGGATGTTGTCAGTCAACCTCATGTTGACATTGAAGCAATTTTGAAATCCTTCAATATTAAGGATGCTATTTTGAATGCCGCATTTGCCTGACAGCAAGTAAAAAGCATGACTGATAAAATCTTGAAAGAATATTTGGCCCAACAACCCACATCTTGCAACATGCAACACTGTATCCAACAGCGATTCTGAACCTATTTTAGAGGCTGCACTTGAAATTTTTAACGAAGTGAAACTTGCGCCAGAATCAATCGAAGAATTCAGAACATAGATTATTGAGGACAACCTTGCTGATGATGTGACAGACGCAGAAATAATCCAGGAAGTCACGACAGTACATGACGACGAGGTCGAGGAGGCAGTGCCGGAGAAAAACTTCACTATCAGCTGTGATGAAGCGGTATCAGCAGCCAATACTTTGCTTCGTTGGTGCGAGGAGAGAGAATTAAATTTTTCAAACATTTGGATGTTAAAAGGGATTCAAGAACAAGCAATGAAGGACTGCCTGCATAAGAAGAAGCAGAAGACAATCACAGACTTTTTCCAAGTGTAAAAAACCGTATTTTGTTTGAAATATTTTACCATCATTCTAGTTTTATATATATGTAATAAAGTACATATAAATATGCACAATTTAATACTTTTAATTTCATCGTGTCTTTAAATTTCCCTAAATAATTAATATATAGTTATTAATACTACTGCATTCGACAATAATAGTCATAGTACATACTATTTTTCCTTGATCAAATGTATTAAGAAAAAACCCATTCTTGATAATCTGACATTTTCAGTAATCTGACACCCATGAATTGAACCCTTTCAATAACAATGAAGAACACAATTATTAAACTCAATCTAAAGATCTGCTGATCCCCCTCAACATTGTACTGCAGCATGTCAGAAATCTTTGAGTTACATGGGTTGTAAAATATTAAATAATTCAAAAGAAGCTATTCAAAAAGCACCAACATTGAGCAGTTTCATAAATCTGTTAAAATTATTTCTAACTGATAAGTGTTTTTATAGCTTGGAAGAGTTCTTTGGATCTAAAATTGTTTTTTAATCTGTAATGCATGGCTTTTTCAAATGTATGTAGTTTTGTTTTACCATTTCCTTTTGATCTATTATAGACTGTGGCTAGTTAACAATGAAATAAATGTATTATTATTCATTCTGGATTCAGAATACAAAACAGTAAGTGTTAAAAAGGCATCTCATAAATATAAAAGAATAAATTAATTACCAATTAAATTTTCCTTCATTCTTTTTTGGATCTTAAACACACAGAATAACTAACAACTTTTAACTTACCAGCACCTAGCAGAACTTCTAATGACCTATACTGCCTAGTTTGGATGTCCTCAGTGAAGTGTTTGTCTACCCAACATGCATTTCCTAAGTCGGCTATCTTAACTTCGAAATCACATTCTACAAAAGCAGGATCAAGCTCAATGATCTTATCACTCTTGGAATTGTTTAGTGAAGGTTCCAGCGATGGTTCTAGAGAGGGTGAATCATCTTCAGACATATTTACTACTGGTTCCCCAACTGCCATACTATTCTCATGATCACAAAGTTGTGCTTCACCAGCTCCTAACTCTTCACAACCATTTTGTAGTTTTTCTTCATGTTCTGGAGTCATGTCAGGACTAGAAGAAGCACAATTGCATTCTCCATCTCCATTAACATTTGAATCACCATTTTCCTGTACTTTTTTATTTTCTTCTATCTCCATAATTTGTTCCATCTGGCGTTTTAAGAGTTCATTTTGTCGTTTTGCCTTCTTCTTCAGTTTCTTCTTTTTATTTTTGCTCATTTTAGTTGGTTGATTATTTGTCAGAGGAGCAGTACTGATAAGGGAGATTGGTAGTTTCATGCCAAGTTGATGCATCTCTGCTGCTTCACAAGCTAACCTTCTGATTGCTTCTTCACTAATACAGACTAATATGTTCTCAGGTTTGATATCAGTATGGATAATTTTGCATTTTGAGTGTAAGTAATCGAGACCTTCAAGGACTTGCCTCATGATTGTTCGGACATTAGCTAAAGGTATCCCTCTATAATTCGATTTGATGATGAGTTTCAGCAAGTGGTGACCAAGGACTTCAAATACCATGCAGACATGCACACCGTTGATGCCACTTATTTTAAAGTCATTCAGCAGTTGTACAGTTTTATTTCGTTTAGGGTCTGATGGGTCTGACTCCCTGACAGACTTAAGTATTTTGATCTCATCAAGGGCCGTTTCAGTAAAGTGGTCGGCGGACTTGACGATCTTTAGAGCTACGAATCTTTTATCTTCCAGATCCCAACATAGCCAGACCGTGGAAAAGTGACCCCAACCTAGTTTTCTAGTTACATGATACCTGCCGAGAAACAGGTCGCCTATTTTGACAGGATGGTAACCTCCCTTGCGGTAGTCGCTGCTGTCCTCCTGTTCCTCTTCTTCGCTGGTATAGATATCGTCTGCATCTTCAATGGTCTCATTACTCGAGCTATGAGAAGGTTCGTTTTTGGAATTGTGACGATTTTCTCCACCGTGGCCGTTCATTTCGTTCTTTGCTTTCTTTTTAGCTGGCTTGTGTCTTTTCTTTTTAGCTTGAATAGCTAAGACACGTCTGTTTACGTCCAATTTAGCGCTCATTTGTACAACTGTAGTAAACTATCACCACCGCGAAATATTTAATAACGTCAAATGTCCATTGCATGAAAGACCAAAAACACTTTTGTTTGATTATGGCCGCCTCATCTCCATTCCACTTTCATCACTTGTTCGTAAATCGTAGTCGTATTCGCATGTTCGCAGCGTAATTGACGCTACTGCGCAACTTCGAAGAGTTGTGTAGCTTCACACGTCATTCTTGTCAATTTATTTTCCGTTCCCTAGTCTTCTTATCCGCGCAACGTTGCCAACCTTCTAGATTATTTTTATTCACTCAATTTTTGAGTGAAGCATTTAAAAAGTTCTACGAATGACGCCAAATGAGCTCGATGACTTGAATATTCTATGATGGATGGAATCCAATTTGCTTTTTGAATACCTTTGCTTTGCTTCTAAACGAGTTACATCAAGGCTTAAATCCTTTGATATGACACATCACGCCGCAAACGCAATATAATCGATCTATTTTTTAAAAAATATATAGAAACTTATCGACTTTAAAACGATGTTGTTTTGAAGTCGATGTAGAAACTCTAGAGAAGGACAAAGGAGCGCCCATATCCGCCAGTTCTGAAAGTACGACGTTCGTCACGGCTAATATGGGAGACTGAATGAAGTCGCCGACGTTACGATAGAAGAGAGGTAGATCGCCGGCGACCCGCCGATGCGAAAGGGTCCCGAGACTGTCCGTTAGAGAAAAGTCATCGATCAACCGGAAAGGCCTACCCTGAACAACATCGAGCATTGATAATGTAGTCGAGGCGGCAGCACCTCAAGCATATGAGCAGTATTCAAGGTTAGGTCTTGTCTGGGCCGTGTACGGAGTGAGGAGGTCATGTAGAGAAAAGTACTTCTTAGCCCTTAACGAATAGCTGTTAGGTTTTTTGCCCTTATGATGCACTGTAGGCTATAAGCTCTTGTTACGAAGAAATTATCAGACACAATCTCGTCGGGTCAATTTACCAAATTATACTTGTAACAAAAATTATCTTTTCCCAATTTTCTTACACAAATTGACGTTAAAAAGCAACCGCGGTGTTGCACCAAACATAAGTGTATATCTTTGGAATCTATAAAAAATAGCAATATTTTCCGGTGTCCTATTTGCAATACTATCAAAACATTAATTGCAAACATTCTTTCGATTATTTCTAAAACCTCAATATACACTTGACAGCGCCGCAGGTTATAGAATTTTCTGTTTCATGACTGACATGGCAAATGACATACGATAGTAATGACAAAAGACAGTTCCAGAACACCTGTCAATATGACAGTCTTTTGAATTTGGCATTTTTTCCTAAATTTTATTGTATCATTTGTGGTCTTCAATATTTTTTCTTTTACATGGCACGAAAACATATAGTATTAATTTGAGGTTTTGATGACGCTGACCTACAATACAACGCTACATCGCAAAACGCATATACGCCTGCGCTGAACTAACCAAACAAATCATTTTGGAGGGAACCAACCAACCAACGCACCAACGGTTACGTCGTGGCCATTTAATCCCTTTAAATTTGTTTATATTTTTATAAAATTATTTGTAAAACATGTCTCAGCCCTCCGTCGCAAACTATTTTAACACGAGAAAGAGGTCAGCTATTGAGGACACCAAAATAAATCGTGCTAAGAAGGTATTGTTACTTGATTCAAACAATTTTTCTAGTGCAAGCAAAAATGGGTTAGATACTCCAAAGAAAGTCGAGCTAGTGGAAAAGAATGAGGGGCTTTTTAGTACACATAGTGATAAACTACAAGAAAAGAAAGAAGGTATTGTGAAATCCTGTAATAAAATAGTGACTAAGCCAAGCAGTGAACGCCCGAAGCTGGTCCCCAAAAAACGTGCAACTCCTAGATCAAAATCGGCAACTATAACGACTTCAAAGAACATTCAGGAGTTATTGAACAACATGAAGAGTAAGTTAGATAACAAAGCAAGTGATGTACCTATAGACCTGCCTGAAACCACTGCAATAGCTGATAAGATAGATAAGCAAATAGATGAAATTGAAAGACAGGTTACTCCACCAAATTCACCCATAAAAAAGATAAATGCTTTGGATAAAGTGAAGGACAAACCAGATGGGCCTTCTTTGAAAGAAATCAGAAGGAAAATGACGAGGAGTGCTAGGCTGGCAGAATTGAGAGCCTCAATAAGTAGGTTTCAAGAGGGTGATAAGAAACTAAAGGAAATTGAAAAGAGGACTGAACAAATTCCCGAATCCCCTAAACTCCAGAAGTTTAGGACCATAGAACTAGAAGTTGCTACTAGGTAATATAGCTATACCATTTTTTGAGGTTTTTGGATATAGAGAGAGATTTAGTCTTCTGAACATTACTATTAATCTGTGATAAGTCTTGCCATTACAATAAGTGATATTTAAGTAAAATCTGTTTCCATACATTCATTATTCTTAAAAGTACAATTGGAAATCAGTATAAATTCTTTATTATTCATTAGAATTTTCTTTAATCAATTTATTGTTTTTCTTATTTTTAGTTTTCTTGTTATTCTTATCTATGCTTTATATTCAACTTTTGTCCCATAAAAGATTTATTTTTCATTTAATTTTTCCTCTATGATTATATAGAGTGGTGCAAAGATCAATTTAGGAAATGGTAATTTATGCAACTCTTATTTTTTATTCCTGTTGCTTAATTTCTTAAGTACTTTTGACATATATGTGAAATGTCTGATAGTTGTATAAATCTCTACATATTCTTAAATAAATGTTCTCTTCCAAGCAATATTGATGATGATTTTTAAAGAGTGCAATCATATTAGATACATCATTTAGTGTCTTTTGTCTAAGACATAGCTATAAATACATTCTTGATAAATATACATCATTGTTTCAGCCCCAAAAAGGTATTTTCTCCAGAAAAGTGCTACCTGAGCCCTAAAAAGGACACCTCAGCTAGGCGAAATCTTCTACAGCAGTTTACTCCAACAAAAATGCTGTTCCAATTGCTCCAGATTCTCCTTCTAAGCAAATCCTTCAAGAAATCACTAAACCAGCACTCACATTGCCATACAAGTATAGACACCTGGCAGAAATATTCAGGTCAATAGACATTATCTGTCAGATACTGTTCAATAGGAAGGAGACCATTACATTCAGGAAGTTGAAACCTGCTGTTGAGGAGATGATGAAGAGAAATTTGTTAGAGAAGCATCTAGCACAGATCAAGCAGATTTATCCTGATGCCTTTCAGTTCAGCCAGGAGAAACTTAAGGTCTTCGGTGCAGGTAAAAAAAGACAAAATCAAACCTTAATAAATCATTTTTTCCATACTAACTTGAGAAATATCCTTCATTTCTCTAAGGAGCCGTTACATTTTTCCCCTAGGTAAATAAAGATCTGTTTACAATTTATTTAGCATGATTGCTACAATTACATTCTTCTAAAAAACTAAACAATTACATAACATACAGATATTTAGAAGAAAACAAAATTCATTTACAAGAATTTTCACCGACCATGAAATATTCCTTTAATTTTCTTTTAAAAATCTTTAAATTACACATAGACTTTATATCATTATTTAGTTTATTGAATTCAAGTAATCCTTTTTGAAATATTGATTTGCTAGTTATATTACTATTGCAATTTTGTAAATGAAAATCTATATTTCCTTTTGTATAATAGTTGTGGTAATGATTATCCAATTCTATGTAGTGTCCTAAATGTTGTGGCAAAAGATGATTTTTTTATTTTAAATATAAAAATAACCAAATATGATATGAAATTCAACCACTGCAATTCTTATAAGAGATTTTATTTTTATTGAATATTATTCTCATAGCTTTATTTTGCAGGACTTGTAATTTTGATGATGAACAGATCACTAGGTAATTTATGAATGTGGCTTGCTGGGTACATTATTGATATTGCTGTTAAACCCTTTATCCATTTTTGAATATTTCTAATAATTATTGCTTATTTCAAGGCAATAAAGTCTATTTTATAACTGAAATTATTTTTGATTGTATTATTCATTTCTTTATTTTGACATTTTGAAATTCCTATGACACTTGTCGGTGACAGTGTCTGGTATCTGGTCTTGTAAATTCTGTCTATATAGCATAGCAGAATGAACGTAATTTTTGTGGCGGGATCTTGGGCGTGATCACTGACAGGTTGGCGATAGCTGTATGAACAGGGCTTTATTTTGCTGAACATTCAGAAAATTCTCAGATATGCTGTGTTTCAAAGTTTAATCTAATGAAACGTAATGTATCATCATTAGTGGTGAAAAAAATGTTTACTTACTTCGGTGGAGATGGCCATTATTGTCCTCTCACATTGAAGTACTTTTGTCAATAAAGGTATACCTACTTTTCTACTGTAGTATCTAATGTACTATTTTTACTATGGTCCAAAATTATTAAACACTCCAGTCACGGGAATGTGGTTCACCATATCTCCCAAGTCTTTGACGTTGACATCCGCATAATTTGTAGGATATTTTTTCTATTCTTGAACCACCATGTGGGCCTAAGGCCGAAACACCCGTGGGTACCTTGGAGCTGTAGGGGATACAGGAAAAAGGGGGGCCTCACACGGACTCTAGCGAGGAAACACCTGTACACACATGCAAGCCCCGCCTGAGAGATCCGCCAAGTGGTACCTCCACATTTGACTATCTGATACCATCTATCATTTATGAACAATCATAACATCATGTTTGATATGTTTATTCAATGCTGGACTGTATAATGTAAAAAAGGATATCGAAGTGTAGAAATGTTATGATCTCCTTTTTATGCATATTAAAAATGTGCTTTTTGAGGCCAAACATTAGCGTAGTTTTATTTTGAAAACTATATACATACAAATCATTTTAATTTTTTTTGTGAAATGATTCTAGGTAATATGCGAAAACCTAGTTCAAAAGAGTAATGGTGTGGTATTTCATTTTTATGCTTTCCTAAATTTAATGGATATTTTCTGACTCAGCAAATCTTAAGGTTTTAAAGAAGCCTTCATAGAAATCGGGTTTGAAAACTTGTAGGAATCTGTAGACTGAACTTGGTTTCATATTTATTTGACTATTTCAACCTTGTATTTTAAATTTCTATCCAGTTATCTAATAAATTATTGGTTATTGTTGATGCATGTATTGTTTTTGATAGTCACGTTTTCAGCGAAATAAATAGACATATTTACATTGTATGTTTAAACATTTTGTTGTCCCATATAGAGATTTTCAAAATAATAACATGTCTCACCTTTCATACTCAGTGTTTGATGTTTTTTCTTACACAATATGACAATATAATGCATTCTGGATTATATTTTTTTGAAAATGCCATCTTGTTAGCCTGTCATCACTAAAATTGTAATGCTGAATGTACACACACTATGTACTTCTACTTTTTTGTACCTGATGCATTGTTAAAAAGATCAAATCATAGTTTTTTGGCTGTGCTGACTGTTTGATTACTTCAGGGTCCAGAGACGAAATGATTTGACTCATTTTTTACTTTAGGTGTGAAAAAGGAGCAGTGGGAACTTGTTATAAAACCAGCAGTCCAATCTGAGCATATTACATCAGATGTCTTATTGGAACGCCGCAGGAAATTATTCGCAACTCTTTTGGACAAAGTAAAAAGCTATCATGAGGAATTCCTATCAAATTTAGACCCTCCAATAGTAGTACCAAAAGGCGAGATCAAACGCTGGCATCCTGAATTCAACATTGAAATGGTTCCTGATATTGAGACTAATGAGTTACCTCAACCACCAGCTGAGGATATTTTGACCACAGGTAAGGTTCATCCACTTTTTGCAGGTCAATATATAGATAGATAGATAAATATGCTTCATTTGAATAATACAATCATCCTTAATGATAAAGCTAACTTGAAACTAAACTATAACAAAATTACATATGTGTATCTTGAGTAAATGGATTGTAGACTGCACACCTGGTATAATATGGTTTTACATACTAGACAGTTTATTGTTTTAATTTTATTTTCACTATGGAATATCTTTAAACTGTTGATTCTTTTGATAGAATCAGGGAGGCACATTATAAATTATGAGTCTTTCACAAGTGTTGACTTTAGTATTACTAATTTAAGATTTTGTTTTCATCTGATATCATAATTTATATTTGATTTTTCAAATTTAGATTTATAATTAAAAATAGGAGTTGTAGCTTATAAAATGAACAATGATGTGCTCTATGATTGCTTTGTGTTATATATCTAATAGTTCATTTTTGTAGAATAAGCATTTGTTTTAAAAAAATTCGAAAACAGATATACCAAAAGGAAATGTATCTCAATCTACTTTCAAATAAGGCAAAATAACTACTTAAGGGTGAGCTTTCCCGACGTTGTAACTAATTGTTCTTATAATAAAGGAAATCTTTGAAAGTTGAGTACGCAATTGGTCTACATGATTAGTTAAATTTAATTTATGATTACTGGTCATCAGTCCTTGAAAATTGACGATGTCTGTTTTGTTTATCAATTCATTATTTGAATCTATAAAATCAAGGGAGGATTTAAATGCTGTGGTTTCATTTTGTGGCAGGACAAACCTCAAGGATTATCAAAGTATCGTATGATTCTTATGGGTTGTTAAGATAGTAAAAAATGGAGGTAATCAAGATTTTGAGGTACTTTTTTACCTTTGCAGGTAAAGATGTTCTGGAAAAGGCTAGACAAATGTTCAATTGTAACAGTAAAATGGAACAGGCTTTACAGAGACTGAAGGAAGTGAAGGAAAAAAATATTGCTCCTCTACCTGAGGATACCCCAAAGGAGATGCCAATATCAGTTTTAAAAGGTACTTATAAAAATCATAGTCAACCTTATCGCGAGTTTTTTTACTCAATAGATCATTTCTTCTAAGCTTTTCTAATGATTGCACTAATTTCTGTGTACGCGAGAGCACGTCATCAGACTATATTGCACAACTACCTCAGTAAGAGGGTTATGTGTTTCACGCGTGGGTATGTATGCATGTGGACAAAAATCTATTTCGTGGCTACATTTCAAACGACTTGACGGATTTTGATATACGAGGTGTTGTTGGATTCATCTGAGCAGTTATCACTGGATATATGAATGGATGAATGAAACATGAAATTAAAGGCTTAACGGCCACCATAACGAGCCAGCGCATAGGCCACTTAGACGGACCCTTGTGCACCTCTACATTCCTTAGACCTCAAGCCTGGCCATTCTAGCGAAGTTGAGTATGGCCCTGATTCCAAGCTCCTTAACGTCCTGGGGTCCAAAGTGATGGACTCCAGTATAATCCGCCTGTAGTAGCTAAGAGCCTCACAGCGACACAGAACGTGCGCCGAGGTCTCTTCCTCTACGCCGCCGCGCTCACACAAGGGATCCTCAGCCACCCCTATTACGTGCAGGTGGCGCCTTAACGTGTTACGGCCCAACAACAGTCCCACCAGTAACCTTAGGCTGGCTCTATCCAAAGATAAGCAGAAACGTCCTACTTTAGCGCTGGGCCCTAAAATGAGCTCCCGTGCCTGACGGAGATGTCTGGAGATGTTTCTCCATTTGTTAAAGTCTTGTCTTGCAATCCATTTCTCCATTTTCCTCCTAACTCTTTGCGCGGGCACTCCCAAAGCTGACTCAGGACCAACGAGCTTGCTGGCTGATCCTGACTCCGCCAGACCGTCCGCCGTCTCATTGCCCTTTATCCCAGCGTACCCACACTATGATACCGGATGCCTTACTGCTAGGCAATCCAGAGTCTCCCTGCATTGCAATACAAGGCTCTAAGTAATCTTACAGGCACGTTGTGCCTTCATTGCAGCACCTCCAAAATGAGGGATCCAAAATTGCAAAGATTTTCGCCTGGAAAATAGTGATGTATGCACCAAGAGGCAGAAATGGTCTAGTTCTAGGCCCAGAGACCCCGACGCCAGAGCTGTCTTCGGTGACCGAACCGTCCGTGTACCAGACTCACTCCGGAGAGTCTCCGGCAACCGGCGCCCACTCCTCCCTCCTTGGTTACTCCACATTGAACTTGTGGTTGAAGCGATATTTAGGGGTAATTAGATCATCCCCGCTCAGAAGGACTAGATCCTCCCGTTGCAGTTCGACTAAGATGGCAGTATGACCCTTGACAGGATTCAAGAAGGTCCAGCTGCCCTGACTCCACAGTTTAGTGTGTGACTACTCTCGCTTTTCCGCGGATCCAACGGTGGGAGATCCATCAGAGCTTCCATTGGACTCAATGCTGATACAGGTCAAAGAATGAATTTCATTGAGTTTGGCCTCAGTTGCCTCAGTTCCATAGCCAGGCCACCAAACCAATGAGCCGTACAAGATCGAGTCACTATCGTCGTGTAGAGTCAGTGAACCGCTCTGGGTTCGAGCTCCCACCTTGCACCGACAACGCGTCTTCAAGCCCACAATGAATTGCGAGCCTTGTTAACCTAGAATTCAACGTGCTCTCTCCAGTTCAGTTTATAGTCCAGGATAATTCCTAGGTATTTTACTGATTGGGATAGAACTAATCTAGTCCCAAAGAAGGTCGGTAAGACAAGCCCGTCAAGCCTTCTTCTCCTAGTGGATAGGATCAGCTCGGTCTTTCCAGCGTTGAACTGGATATATTCGAATTCTATTAAAACAAAATGATTTTAATAAGTAAATCAACCTTGAAATTTCTATTTCACGCGTTGCAGTTCGCTGGATTTTGACATTTGACGTGTTCTTGACACCCGTTTCCCAGTCACCAACAGCAAGAGAAATGTTGATCAGACGCTTGCGAAATAACAAAACAGCTGATTTTTCCTGTCATTTGCAACTGAACATCAATCAGTTGGATTTTTTATGCAAGTTTGTATTGGGTGAAATAGTAACTTACAAGTTACCAGCTTGTGAACGTCACTATGCCGGACTGATAGTTTGTTTGGTTATATATAATTGTCTATAGATATATGTATGTTCGATTGTGTTTTGATATTGGATGGTTGGAGATTGAAACTTGTTTTTTGGTATTAAAACCATGTGTTCTGAAAGTTAACGTACCTGAATTATTTGTTAGGAATGTGACTGGCAGTATTTCATTCGCTTGCTTGTTTGAATCGAAAAAACAGGACCGTTTTTCAGTTTAACGTGATTGGATGCAATTGTCTTGTAAACAAAACAATGTTGTTTTGCAACTGCAAGGACGGGTAGAAGGAAACGGTTTTTAGATTCGTCCTCAAAACACAATCTAATCTTCATTCTTTTTAGTTACTTGAGTTGGGTTGTTAATATTTTTTAAAATGTACTTGTTTTACTATACTGCGAGCCCCTTCCCACTTCAGTTGGCCCACTTCAAGATTTGTACCAAAATATGTCTTTATAAACGAAACATGACGAAACTATTTACCTCTAAAACAATTTATTTTCTCAAAAACATTTTAGACACACTCTAGTCGTAAAAATACATATTTGAAATCACTTAGACCTATTACTAATAGACCATCTGAACAAATAAACAATGTGCGAATAAATGCGCGAAGTTAACAAAGCAACATTTGAAAGATTACCATTGGGTAACATCACTTTTATTTTTTATTACGGCTGAAATTCTTTAGGGCATAGTGTTAACCCAGTTTTGGCAAAAATTTGGTGTAAAACAATCCCATATTTCTTGAAGCTTTTGTCTCAGTTCGGTGATTGTACGAGCACGATGTTCTCGTAGAACCTTTTTCATCTCGTGCCACAAAGTTTCAATAGGTGATAGATCTGGACTGCTAGAAACCCATTTCAAAAGTAGTACATTATTTTCTTCTATCCATTTTATAGCCTTTTTTGAGGTATGGCACGCTGCACCATCTTGCTGAAACACAAAATCTTGGCCGGATGTCAAACATTCTTCCATCACTGGTAAAAGCGATTCTTCTAAAATTGCCAAGTATTTGTTTGTATCCACATTTCCATCAATAAAATGAAGTTTTCCTACTCCTTTTGATGACATACTGCCCCAGACCATAATGGATGCTGGAAATTTCACTTTTCTCTTCAGACAGTCAACATTTTTTTTGCGAATAACTCTACTACGACTGTCACCAACACAAACTTCGAATCGGGCCTCATCACTCCATTGTATTGCACATCATTGTTGAGGTGTCCATTGTCTATGTTCTTTAGCCCATCTAAGCCGATTTTTCTTTTGCAGTGGAGTTAATAGTGGCTTTTCTTTGGCCTATAAACAAGTTGTGCAACTTTTGGGTTTTTACTTCACTTTTTTTTACAAGAACCTTGCAAGTGCTAAATCCCAGTTTGTGGGCCTCTCTATGAGTTGTGGACCTCGAAATTCTCCTTCCAATAGCGTCACTCCAGAGAGCACTTAATTGTAAATAATTGGCACGCCTGTTTTTCACGATTATTCTTCTTAATGCTCTTCGGTCGGCATTTGTGATATTACTTTTTTTCACATATCGTGGCTTAATATTAACTGTACCGCGATAAGTCTAACAAAGTTGCAATTTTTGAGTTTGATTTCACAGAATTAAAAAATTTAATTTTATCAGTGACCGAATTTTCTCACTAATAACCTTTCCTCTACCCATTTTGAAAACCTTAACTACCCAAAACCATTTTAAGCGTGTTCTAACAGCTGTGATTAATAAAAACAATTGTCATGGCTTTTATTTTTCACAGCCACCTATGCCTTATAGACTTATTTTGCATTGATATGAAAATAGGTTGATATGCTGTAATTGCAACATGTGTTATTTTATGCTGCAAATTTGATTAGGGAGTGATAAAGTTGGTGTTTTCTACTATATAGGTATTATCAAAATATTTATTGTTAATATTTTAAACCTATAACACCCTGCTACATTTTTATTATTTGTGTTTGATAAGAAAAAAACTAAGATTTCAATACTTGAGCCAACTGAAGCAGGAAGGGGCTCTTATATAACCATCGGATATTAACAAAATAATTTTATTCACAATGTTGGATTATAGAAGCAATTCATGTTTCAAGGGATTCCAAAAGCGCTGTTGGAAAAAGTGAGGCAAAAGCAGGCTGCAAAAGCAATGGTGTCCATGACAAGAACCGCAGAAAAAGAAAAGCAAGTCGAGATATATTCGCGACTACCTGAAATAGCTCGACTGGCAAGAAATATTTTCGTGGCCGAGAAAAAGAGTGTACTATCACTTGAAATTCTCATTGAAAAATTGGGTAAGTTGATTTGCTTTCCTGAATAAATTTGATTTATTTCCATCTGAAAAGTTACCAGTTGGCAGTTCTTATTTTACATCAGATTTTTTTCAACAGCAATTTAGTCTTCCAAAGCGACCAGTTTTCTATCTCCGCAACATTTTACGATTTTTTGTCAGTGATATTGGAGTGTCTTAACAATAGAAGACGAAAATGGAAATGTTACCCTATGAATATTTTGATATTTTCTATGCAGTTTTTCAGAAATCCGGGCAAAGGCAACCCTGCTGTTATGTGTTCTATTATTTACCATTTATAAAAAACAAGTTTTATGAAAAAAGGAGATACCTGCAAAATCAAGCAACCGAATCTTAGATTATTAGTAAAGTGCTCATATGGCGGATCTGTCAAAGCACAGCGCTGCCAGATGGGTCGGACTGAATTTCCCCAGAACAAGCATAAACATTTCTCAGACTTGCTATTAAAAATAAAAAACCTAATCACAGTTAATTAATGGAAAGGGGTAGATTTGGTTCAAAGAGCGGGGAGATGCGTTATATCCGCTCCAAAGAGCATTATAACCCAAAAAATTCCCAATCTAAAAATCCCTCAAATTTGGGGGAAAATCCCTCAACATGGCAACCTGTCAAGACATCACTGGTACTCCAGAGGTCAAGTTTTGCGATTGTTTTTACAGCGCGACCAGCATTGCAGTGGTTGCTCCTGGTATATGTATAGGCTCCATGCTAGGGAATAAGAATATTTTCGTATCCACCTGCGTATCTCCTCTTTGGATAAAATACTTGAATTAGACGTCAATTTGATGTTAAAATACATGAAGGTTTCCTACAAGACCTGGAAACCTGTAATCTGGACTGGAAGTCATGACGATTGTGAGCGATAGAAAATACTTTTTCGTGTGGTTGCAGAAAAAGATGCATAAGATCCTTGATGAAAATCTGTCCAAAATCTTGTCTACCAGTTCTACAACCATTCATATTTTTTTAGGAAATTGCTACAGGACTACCCTCAGTAAAAAGGAAATGGAAGAACATTTGAGGATAATTGGGAAAGAACTACCTTGGTGGCTGATATTCCACTTTTTGCGGAAGTGTAATTACATCAAATTAGACAAAAACGCTGATCTTAGTATCGTCATTGCTAAATTGGAACATTTAGCTAAGCAAAAAAGTGAACAATAGCTTTTTTAGCACTGGTTTTAATAAAATGAAGATTATTTTATTCATTGAAATTTATTTTTTTATAGTGAAATTTGAGTTAGCCATACTGACTGCCTTACTTTGAATGACATATACATTTTTCAAATGAACATTCTAACTTTTAACTGGAATGTATTGTATTTTATGCATTATATTGATGCAATATTTGTATTCTTTTAACTAAATAAACGTAGTAATTTTTATGGGTCTTTATTTTCCATAAATGCTGCTTCAGTCTTCTTAAATAATGACTGATAGAAGAGGTAATATCTTAAATTCTGTGTGGGACCCTTCCGCTTTATGCATCTGCCATTCCTAACGGAATCGAGTTTGCAAAATGTGCGGACCCGCACTTTATCAACAGAAATCAACTGAGAAGAGGTCAAAGAATAATAAGCCGGATCACGCCGGGTTACTTTTTGGTTCACTTTATTCAATCCCCTTCCTCTTAAGCAATAACAAAAAAGTTTTTTCCGTTCCGACCATTTTTGTATCTTCTCGGATCATTCTGAACAAGAAAGGTCCTGAGTAACTTTTCTCTGAAGTTGGACGCTTTCGATGTCTGAAAACCCCTAAAAATGTCGCATCTTCAATAATTAAAAATTCAGTTCAGTTTAGTTCATTTGGAGGTCGCCAAGTACCTAAATTAAAGCTTTAACTTTTCTCTACAAGATCACGAAGAGTATTTCAAGATTATTTTACTTTAAAGTGATTCTTAAGCTATTTGGTGAAGATTTGATTTTCTCGTACTGTACATACTCACTAAACTGGAGCTGAAACCAATGTTTAGTTTATAGCAAGATATATTGGCCGTTTTTTCAATGTACCGGGTATCCTAAAAGTCATGGAAAGGTAGTAAAAGAGGGTCATTTCTACAAGACTTTTGGCGGGTATCGACATTGTGGCAGCACCTACCCGAGGAGGATTTTCTCTCAGTTCTACTAACAGTCCAAAAATCGGATCAACAAAGTTTCTCCAAGCTTCTCATAGCAGTCGCGGTGCTCTATGGCATTTAGATTTCCACCTGCGCGGCTGATTCGTTATAAAAAAACTGTTAATAAAGCAGAAAGCAGTTACTCATTGTCTTGTAACACGAACCAAACATTTATCTTTTTCTGACGCTTCAACTAATTGTTCCCTTTATAAGAAGGTTTTAATTATTTCAGCGGACAATTTTTTTTTAATTTAAAAGCTTTTAGTTCCGAGAAAATGATTTCAGTGAAGGTAGGGAGATGAATATAACAATAACACAAAAATAAGCATAGAAAATTATTATTTTTAAGCAAACAGCACTAACAATCAACATTCATACTCCAACTCGCAACAACGTCACTAAAGAAAGAAATCACTATCAATAGATTGCTCTATTTCAGATATCACATTGTACAGCCTTTTCTTCACATCCTCTTCGGGAACATCTCTGGATTTCCCTGGTTCATTTAAAGGATTTGCACACTGCCTTAAAATGGTCGCTAGATCTGAAGGAGTATGTTGGGACATCAGAAGTCCTGGGACTATAATTGTATTGGACATCCTCCAGCCTAGAAATATCTTTTCACAAACGATTTGTAAATTGTTGTTTGCAACCGTATCTGAACATTTATGCGTTTTTAGGTTGCATCTAGACCTGCAATCTAAGAAATCACAGTCATTATCACTATTGCAATATCGTACACCTTTCAGAACTGAGTTAATTACTGATCTTGGAAGAACTCCATCTAAGTCTATAAATTTCAATCTTGTGCTACCTTTTACAAAACCAAAATGCTGGATCTTGATGTCGCATAAATGGAAAGGTTCTCTGAACCCAGTTTCCAATTCTTCTAACAAATCTAAGATCTGCACAGCTATTCTTAGCTTTCTACCCCAATCTTCCTTACTGTCACTTATAGAAAGTAAGGAGTTAACATCAGGAACTGGTTCTAGGTACTCTACAGCGTAATATTGTCCACAAGTGCCTAAAAGCTGAGGAAAAACATCTTTATCCGTAAATAAAGCAGAGAGCAGGTACTCATTGTCTTGTAACAGAAACCAAAGATTGTCTATTTCTTTCTGGCGCTTCAACTTATTCTTTTCTTCATAGGAAGGCTTTAATCTTGACAAACGCACAGCTGTGTCATACGCCAGAGTGAGATTCAACTTGTTCTTGACAATTGTGCGTATTGTAGAGAGAAATTCTTTTTCTGTAGGGTATCTTATCATTCCGTTTTCGTACCAGTGTATAGCTTGAGTGTCCTTAGGGACAGATTTGAAGACTAGACGTATGTTATGCCATTCTGCGCTGAAGACTGCTTCTTTAGTAGCTTGGAATGAGTGGCAAGTTAAAGAGTGGATGTCTTTTGTAGTGCAGAGTGGTGCACACAAGGATCCTACTGCTAGGCCTTTTCCGTACAGGTGACACTAAAAAATTAAGAAAACCACGTTATGTACATAGACATTCATAATGTGATTTTTAAGACTGTTTTTGGAACATTTTGGGTAAAACTACCGAATCATTGATTCAATGATCCACCTGTCGACCTAGTTGACCTTGGGAGTCATCTGTATTATATAGTTGGGACGCCGATCGTAAATTTTCTATTACTAGGCAGTCTGATAAGTCCCTGAAAAATGAAACACGGAGACGTTTTTTTGGCCAAAGTCGGGTTTATTTTTCAACATACTCTCCTTTTAGGTCGATACAGCGAATCCAACGATTTTCTAACTTTTTGATACCGTCCGAAAAGTACTCGATCGGAAGGTCTCCAAAATACGCTTCAGTTTCAGCTATGAGCTCCTCATTTGAGTAAAAACGCTTACCGATGAGCCATCTCTTCAGGTTAGGGAATAAGTAATAGTCGCTGGGGGCCAGGTCTGGTGAATACGGTGGCTGAGGAACCAATTCGAAGCCGATTTCGTGCAATTTTGCTTGTGCAACTAAGCATGAATGAACAGGCGCATTGTCGTGATGATAAAGCGGTTTTTTCTTCTTCAAATGCGGTCGTTTTTCGGCGATTTCGATTTTCAATCGGTCCAATAATGATGAATAATATGCTCCGGTTATGGTTTTACCTTTTCCAAGATAGTCCACGAATATTATGCCATGAGCATCCCAAAATACGGAGGCCATAACCTTTCCGGCCCATTGTTGCGTTTTTGGACGCTTCGGAGCACTTCGGCCCGGTGGAACCCACTGTTTTGCCTGTTGCGTTGACTCAGGAGTGTAGTAATGGATCCAGGTTTCATCCATGGTTACAAATCGTCGCAGAAACTCGGTCGGCTTACGCGAAAATAATGCCAAATTCTGCTGGGAAGTCGTCACACGAATTCGTTTTTGGTCCACTGTGAGCAAACGCGGCACCCATCGCGCGCAGAGCTTCTTCATGCCCAAAACTGAATGGACGATATTGCCTACGCGTTCCAATGACATGCCTACAGCATTAGCTACCTCTCTCAATTTCACTTTGGGATCATTCAACATCATATCATGGATTTTTTCGACGTTTTCTGGTGTAGTGACCTCTTTTGGGCGCCCAGATCGTTCAGCATCAACTGTGCTTGTACGGCCACAACGAAACTCCGTAAACCACTTATGAATCGTTCCAATCGACGGTGCAGAGTCCGGGTAATACTTATCCAGCTTAGCCTTGGTCTCGGATATCGTTTTCTTGCGTAGATAGTAGTGTTTGATCAAAACTCGAAACTCGGATTTTTCCATATTAAAAAAACTCTGAGGTTAGTCGCTTCTCAGTGCTGTAACTTGTAAATGTGTAAACATGAATGGCTGAAGTTTTGACAGGTGTCATTTGAAGGATCAGGCTCGACAAAAATGGTTCGCATTAGTGAATACTAATGCCATCTCTTAGAATTTTCAGGTACTTATCAGACTGCCTAGTACATCATCGCCTACTGATATGATACGATAAAAACTAGTCATATCTTACGTATTTTTATGCTAAACAGCAAACTCAGCAAGTTTGTCCATTGTCGACGTCGCTTCTCCCTAAAATCTATGATGTGTGAAATATGTCTAATAGGTGCGTATAATTTGCGAGATTGGAAGTGCATCAATATACTAACATCCAAAATTGCGATACACCCTCTCCCACTACCCTACAATTTTTTTATGAAATGATCAACATCCTCTAGTCTAATCATTTTAGACGAAAATACCCCTGGTTTGCGATATAATTGTAAAGTCTGGTTTTATTGCTGAGTTGTTCAATGCGGTATTAAAAACATGGACGCATAAAATGGGTACCCCCAATTTTTGTGGGACAACTTTTTATTCGACAACAAAGAATGAGAAAACGTGTTTTTTGGGATTCAATCGAAAGTGTTGGCAGGAACGAAAAACTCTTCATATAAGATTCTTAGGTATTCATGAGACCTACATAATGAGACTACACGTAAAAACCGAGGCAAGCTGCAGGTTTTGGCACTTGTGGGTAATGTGACGATGGTTTCTCGCAGATATTTAAAATTCTTCAAATTCGTAGGATTCGTACTTCTAAATAACCACAACAAAGTGGAGTAGATTGTTCAAGTATAGTTTTTGAGAATTTCTTATTGTTTATCCCAAAACACCTGTTTTCCTGCCACCACTACTAGTTTATTGAGCAATATACACGGTTAGTTCAAAGGGCATTTTATAGCAAAAAACACTAGTTTACCTTGTCGATATGAATCCCAAACCAGTCCGGAAGATAAATGTTATTTTTATGCAAAAAAGGATGGGTTACGTATTTTCTTATAGACAAATTCAAAAATTTCGCATTTCTGAGTAATTCGCAATTCGCAAAAAAAGATGATAGACACATTCACTTTGTTTTAATATGTCTATAGCAACGTATGTTTTTCGAATATCGTAGCGCATTTGTTAAATTACTCACAAATACGAAATATTTGAATTTGTTTAGAAGAAAAAACGTAATCCATCCTTTTTTGCATAAAAATAATATTTATCTTTCGGAATGGTTTGTGAATCATATCGGATAGGTGAACACGTGTATTTAGTAGTGATGACCGGACCGGAAAACAGGTATTTTGGGATAAACAATTATAAATTCTCAAAACACTACTTGACCAATATACTCCAATTTTTTTGTTGTTACTTAGAAGTATGAATCCTACAGATTTGAATAATTTCAAGTAGCTGCGTGAAATTATCGTCGCATTACCAACAAGTGCCAAAACCTGCATTTTGCCTCGTTTTTCGGCCATAACATTTTTGCTATTTGTCAGATCTTTTCACGTGTGGTCTTATTTTGTAGGTCTCATAAATGCCTAACAATCTTGTATAAATAGTTTTTTCGTTCCTGTCAACACTTTCGATTGAATCCCAAAAAACACGTTTCTTCATTCTTTGTTGTTAAATAAAAAGTTTTCCCAGAAATATTGGTGTACCCATTTTATGCGTCCATGTTTTGAATACCCCCTTGAACAACTTGCACCAATGAAACCAGACTTTACAATTATTTCGGAAAAATTTGCTAATATGATTAGACACTCTGAAACCTGAAAAGATGAGGTTTTTACTTTTTTTGTTTTTAGCATTTTTCTCGCTCGCACTGGACCAATTTTCAAAAACTACGAGCTCTTTCGTCCTTGGCATAGTAGTACCCTTGTGTGAAAATTTCAGCCAAATCCGAGCAGTACTTTCCAAAAACATACCTCTTTTTCGCGATTACAATACTCGCCAGTGGCGTGGGAAGTGAAAGTCAAACATCTACTGAGAGACTGCAATCGAGTGGAGCTTCATAAATTCGTTGACCGATAAATTGGGGCATATTTTAATAATCATTCCTATTTGCAAGGACCCTAGCACAATACATAAATTAACCAATAAAATTTAAGGAGGCTCCAAGGCAGCATGCGAAATAAATCAGTAGTTTTATTTATTAACCCGGTTTGTTTCCGTTTGTTTTTCGCGTGGCCACGCTTTAATTCAATTGAATAAAATAGCACTAAGGAATTAGTTGGACGAGTATGTGAAACAAAAAAATCCTCCTGCATTAAAAATGACGCATATGCAATCCATTTTAAAATTCTGCTTCACGTATGGCACGAATTAGGACATCTACCGTGTATTCAAAAAGTTCCGGGACTTTTTTTCCAAAAACATACAGATGGGCGATCTATCGGACAACGGCTGAAGTCCGTAGACTGTTGTCTACCGACTGTAGTAGTTTCATTACGTTGAGGCGTGAAAACCAGTGATAGAAGTGTTAGAAGTGTTAAGATCCGTTGTCACGATTTTTAAAATGGAACAAAGAGCGGCAATTGAATTGTGCTGTAAGTGCAGAAAAAATGCATCAGAAACGTTTCAATTGATGCAAACTGCATAATATGGTAAATAGTGTTTGAGTTGATCGAAGGTGTTTGAGTAATTTTCACGATTTAAAAGTGAACGTGAGCTGTTAGAAGATGTTCCGCGAGCAGGTCGACCATCAACCAGCACTACGGAAGAAAACGTTGAACGTGTGCGATCATTACTAGCTGTGGAATTCCTGTTGCCTGGCCAGAAAATGACTGGGGCCGTCTACAAAGGGGTGTTGAAGCGTCTGCTGGATCGCATTCGTCGAGTATGAAGAGAAATGTCGCACATCACATTCCTCTCTTTTTGTTAAGCAGTTCTTGGCGAAAAAAGAGGTTACTGTGCTCGAACACGCTCCCTACTCACCTGATCTCGCCCCCCCTAAACTGAAAGCGGCATTAACAGGTCAACGTTTTGAAGATATCGAATCGATTCAGTAGAATGTGACGGCAGTCATGAATAGAGCAGGCATTCCATAGCTTGTATGAACGTTCTAAGAAACATATAGAGAAAGGGGGATGTATGTAGAAAACTAAATTGATAAATTATTTTTTTCCATCGTTTACTATTTTTTTAAATGGAGTCACTGAACTTTTTGAATACACGGTGTAGTCTAAATTTGGATCGATTTAATAAACTTCAAACCTTCCACCATCAAAGTTTACAGAATGGCGAAAAATGTTTTTGAATCAACTGTCCTGTCCTACTCACCATCTTTTTGACATGCTGCCAGGCTTGGAAATTTACGCAATAGAGATTCCACTTGAATAAAAAGTACACTATGGTCGAAAGAACTATCAGGCAGGAGTACACCAGGTACCTGTGCTTGTAGAACAAGCCAGGCAGTCTTCTACTAAGCAGCATTCTAGTAGATACTTTGAATTGATGAAATTGAATTTTCAGTTTCATTTGTTTGGGATATGCAAGTTTTTTTATGCTTGTAGACCACTAAACAGCATTCTGGCAGTGAGTTTGAATCGATGGCAGACAATTTTCACTTTCATTTGTAGTAGATTTAGTACTCGATTTTTTCGGAGTTTCCTTATTGATCTGTGTTTGTAGCACTGATCAGATATTACTCTGCTGAAGGTAATTTTAGTAGACACTTTGGCTGTTTGACCACACTGGTTTTCCAATGCTTGTAAAACCGTTGACGTAGTCTTCGACCAAGTAGCCTTCTAGTAGTCTTCGAAAGGAGGCCTTCAAAATTTCACTTTCATTTGTTTGTGGTTCACAGGTTCATTTTTGTGTTTGTCGAATAGTCCAGGTAGTATTATACAATGTAAACAACATTCTAGTAAAAAACTGTGGTAGACACTTTGTATTTATAGTATTCACTTTTCACCTTCATTTTTTTGAAGTTCACTTTTTTATTTGTATTGCGGTAGAGAGACATAAACATGTGATACGAAGGTGGTGAGGTAATAGCGACGCTTGAGTCGTCAGCGCCGATTGTGGCGTCGAGTCAATTCCAGCGTCGCGGTGGTGCGCATCGTGAGTTATAGACCAGGAATGGTAGGAGCAGAATACGAGTAATAATTCCAATTCGGCTACAAATTCTTGCGCTACTATTGGCCAGAATGCTGGATATGTAAGAAAGCCAAGAAGAGTGCGAGAATCGCCATCTGCCATCCATACCATAAATATGGTATCAGATTAATACGATGATGTTTAAAGAACTGTTTTGTGCCATATAGAACTGCAGCGATGGATTGCTCAAAGAGTTAAGGCAAGACTGTTATGAAAATATCAGTTCATAGTATACATGATAGAAGCAATTCGGCTATGATATTTTCAAGATGGTAGTACTTTCGGTTGTCCCGTACTTACTTATTTTAAATACCTTGAATATTATAAGTTTTTAATTGTACGTGATGTTCGAAATATCAATCATGTATAGCCAAGTCTAATCGTTTTTGAGATATCTACAAACGCTTTCTTGTTTATTTGCCTTTGTTATATTATTTGTAACGGATTTCTTACAGAAGGCGAACTATTTAATAGATTTTATTCCGGATCTATATAAGAAATAGTATATCGTGGTCAAGAAATGGAATAAAAGTTAGATTATAGAGAGAGAGAAAGAGGCAGTTTTTCTAAATAGATACCAAATTCTTTTATAATCGTTGTATGGCTACAAGATCGTTTCTGTTACACACCTATACCCTATTCGTAGTCCATTTACGCCCCGGCACAACAAAGATGCAGCGCGGCAAAGCGGTGGCCGCCTAAGCGTTGCAATAGCTATTCGTCATTCTCAGGCTCGGGGTATCGCCGGCACACCGACGCCGCCAGTTGCTGTTCATATTCGATGCATACATAGCGTGTGTTTATACGTTAGCATGTCGTCTACGGATACAGCAGATAAAACTGAGAATATTTCTCCCAATGCTTCCTTCAGCCATGCTTCCTTTTCAGTGATGTATCCTTCCCTAAAACGTGACAAGAAGGGATATTTGAATATTCAAGCAAAAGAAATTGTCTTTAACGTTTATAAGAGGGAAATTTTGCAGCATCCTGAAATAAAAATTCATGAAATTGGCGAACAAAATAGGTTTATGTCCTAAGACAATTTTCAACATAGTTAAAGAATATAAAAAAAGATAAATAATTGTCTCCACTACACAAAAGACTGCATTACACGAGGCTGCTGGATACAGTTGATAGCTTTGATTGGAATGCCATCAGACGCAAAGTCCATCAATTTTTTGAAAGGCAGGAACTTCCCACCATAGACAAAGTATTACAGGAGGTTAATAGTGATGAAGACTTACCTACTTTCAAAAGGACCACATTCTATAGTTTACTCAAAGAACTTCATTTTGAGTGTAGAGAACTGGCAGAAATAGTATGTTGATGGACAGCCAAGAGATTATTTTATGAAGAAGAAATTGTTTAAAAACAATAAAGAAATACCGCGACCAGGCAGGAAGATTTATTACTTGGATGAAACCTGGATAAATGCAGGACATACAAAACCTAAAGTATGGGCTGACTCTACAATTAAATCAGCAAGACAATCCTTCTGGCCTAAAGAATCCGTCAGGTACGTGTATCTAACCAATTCTTCATTTGTGTTGTAAAAATGGTGCCAAGTAGCTATACATAGCTATATCTGGTAGATTTGGAACCAACACCTGTTAGATACTCTGCTTGTATTATTATTACGAGTAGTTTTCATGAATTCTAAATGATATAATTATTTCCAGGAAAAGGGGAACGATTTGTTATCTCTCACACTGGCAGTGAAGATGGCTTTGTGCCCACTACCCTATGGGCATTTGAGTCAAAGACAACGACCGACTACCATGAAGAAATGGACGAGAGTTCAGTTGAACAATGGTTTGAAGAAACGCTCCCAAAGCTTGACCACAATGCCGTCATTGTACTTGATAATGCTAATTCTCACAATGTCCACAAGAAAGGCAGAAATTCAATAATGGCTCCTGTCAAAAGACATTAGTTTCAATGAAAATAGAGTCAAAGCAGAACTTATCCATCTAGTCAGGCAGCACAAATATAAATATAGTCTTAATGTTATTAACGAAATGGCTAAAAGCCAAAATAAGATCGTTTTAAGGCTACCCGCTTGTAACTGCGAATTAAATCCCATTGAAATGATTTGGGCAAATATAAAAAACTATATGGCTTCAATCAGTAGAGCATTCAAATTTTCTGACGTGAAAAATTTGTTTTATGAAGCTGTCAACCATTGGAAAGATTGCATCCGTCACGATCAAGAGACAATCGAAACAAAGATGTGAGATCTGGACAATATGATCGATATCAAATTGAACCTGTAATAATTAATATTAATCATACGGACGATGATTCAAGTACTTCTAGCGAATAAACAATTGTGAAAAGTATGGCCACTTCTTTCTATAAAAATAATTATTTCTTTTGTTAGATTATTCCAAGTCCATTGTGGAAAATACAGACCTGTACAATCTGGCTTTTGGGAATGTTGTATTTTATCTGGACGTAAGAGGACTACGAATGGAGTATAGAGCCTGCTTTCCAGACCAATAAATCCAATACATAACTTTTGTTGGATGATATGATTGACAGCATCAATCATAAATTATTCCTTGCTAAATTAAATTGCATAGGTCTTGACAGTGTATCCCTTTCATTTTTCGACAGTTACCTTCATCAAAGAACTCAGTGTGTTTTTCTCAATCAAGAAATGTCTCAAGTGACAATAATTCCCTCACGCGTCCTCAGGGCTCTGTATTGGGGCCGCTTCTGTTCCTCATATATACGTTCGACTTAAGCAAAAGTATTGATAATTCTCATGTCCAGTCATTTGCAGACGATATGCAATTGCTCCATTATTTTAACCCAGATAATGTCAATAATACTACTCAAATTTTACAAAACGATGTTAATAAATTAATTAAATACTCTTTAGATCACAATCTACTTATTAATCCACAAAAATCTAAAATTCTATTATTCGGATTCGGATTCAAATTCGCAAAAATGCTTAGCATATTGAAAGCGCTCAGCGAGTATGACATCTCTCGGAATAAAAATTAAAATACATGCCGTTCCTTCAGAACTTGTCAACCCAGCGTTACAAAACAGCGACGCGCGCTAAGCGCGAGACAGGAGAGCAGCGGCAAATGACTTATCTTATCGGATTATCGCTTGTGCGGTTCTATCGGAAAGTGACAATAGAAAATGTGGTACTACCCGGCGGGATGACTGTCAGCCAGTTGAAGATTTTTTGCCATCACAAACATAAGCCTTTCTGGGAACGTTGCGTTCTAACGTCATGAAGTATAGACCTTGTCAGAGAACAGTGGGCAAGGCGTTTGACTTAATAACGAATATAGTTCTTGTGATATTGCCTTGCGGATATATTTTTCCAAGGGAGAGGGATGTTAACTAAAACTAGTCACTAATCATCCGGTTGGATAGACGAGAAACTACAAGAATTACAAATTCATTGCTTGGCACAAACGCATTTCGTCGACTGTAGAAGCTGTTCAGAAGAAACTTTACTCGTCACTTAGAACTAGAGAGAACTTTCTACTAGATGACTTCCTTGTCTATGGAAGGTCCAGATAAGATTGGCATGGAGTACGTCTGGCATAATGCCGGTTCAGAAGAGAATCCTGCGACATTCCTTCTTTACATCAATCGGTAGTCCCATTTCTATCGATATGCCAAGATAATGAGCCGTATTAATAAAACAAAGGATATCTTTGTACTTGCAAATTTTGAAGGAAATCCTCCAGATGGCATTTATAATAATTTGAATTAAATGCTTTTGCTTTTTGAGTATAAGCATATCTTTCAAAGCAGTGATATAAGTAAAAGGATATTCATAATCTTCACCTTATACTTGGCATAGGAAGCATATCCTTCAAACATTCCGAGTGTGGTCAGTAGCAGAGTCAACTTCGTAACGAAAGGTGGTCAAACGATGATGGCGGAAATTGTGGATGTTAGGGATGTTAAAACGTACAAACCTCGTTTACCTTCACTTGGTCGTGACGTAAAGTTGGAAAATGTGCCAAAAACACTTATTATTGCTTGTATTGTATTCCATAATGTTGAGAAGAGCTTGGACGATCCTGACTTTCAGTTAGTTGAACAAGACCCAGATGAAGATGAAGGAAATCATGAGAATGACGAACTTCCTCTCCGCCAACTAGGTCAACAAATATGAAGAAACTTGAGTACTATAATAGTTTTACTAAATAAAGTGTATTTATAAGTTATAATACGTTTTATTTTCGTGAACATCATAAGTTACAGGTGGCTTCTGACGCTCCATCATTTCTAATTTCGTTTTATAATACTCTTGTAGTAAAATACTTGTTGGTACTACTGTAATAGCACTAGACGTTGCAGTTCTTTTGTAGTTAAACCTTTGGTTTCCTCAGTTTCGTATTTCTCAGTTGCTAATTTTCTTTTTGGTGGCAGTGTCTTCTGAATTGCAGGCGCTGAAATACTAACTGTATGCTCACTGCGCTCGGTATATAGTTCACTTCCGTCTTCTTGAACTCTACCAACCTGAATGTCACCTCTAATTTTCCCAATTGTAGCATTACAGTCACCTTCCATAGCTTTCAGCAACTTTCTTTCCCAATTATTATTGTATTACAGTGAAAGCTCTCCTTGCGGACAGCTCCTATAAGCGGACATCTCTTTTAACCGGACAAAGTTCCTGGAACCGAATTTCAGCCATCAATTTTCAATGTTAAATGCATTCCGATAAACGGACGCTCTTATAAACGGACGCGGACACTAGATTTTCCTGTATGTGATCAAAAAATCTCCCATAAGCGGACGCGAAACTCTAATACCCGGACGATTTTTTAGTTCCGCTTATTGCAATGCACATATCTACATACATAAAATTCGGTAATTCCCCGATTTATATTAGGTGATTCCCCATTTACGCATTTCGTTGGGTAGCCTGTATGTAATC